TTGGTGAGACACGGAGAGGGCTGGGACATGGGTGTCGAGGCGGTGCGGTGTTGCAGTGGGTAATGCTAAAACACCGGGTAGAAGGGTTAAAACCCAGCGCCCCGAGGTTGGGGTGGCACATCACCCCACGCTGCACTGGCAGCCTGGCCAAGGAGGGTCCCGGAGGCAGCCAGGACCCAGTGCCTCAGGGCGAGCTCAACCCCGGCCGTCCTGGGGCCGCTGCGGGGGGACGCGGGGCGATGCTCGGAAGCGGCACGACAAGGCGAGGGGCAGGGAGGCAGGGCAGAGCTGCCGCTCTGTTTGCAGGAGGCAGGATAACCCCAGGCTGACCCCTTTCACACACACCGCACAACACCCCTAAATCAATTGCATCTTATTATTACAATATCAATATACAATATTCCTACAATAACACCATTGATTTTCTACTCAGAGGCTGCACCTAAGTCTGTTTTAAAGAGGAGGGAGTTAATAGTGCCCTCATTAAAAATCTATAGATTACCCCCCACCCCCAAAAAAGAAAAAGCAGTTTATATTCATTAGGGCTATTGAATATAAAGTAATATGTTTGTGTAGGACATTGGAGTAATGTGATAATCCGTCCGCATATCAGGGAGAAATCCACTTAGCAACCCTGTCAGCTTGACAAGAAAAATGTGCCCATAAAGTCGGGAATACATTGAGGGAGCGAGCGTGAGGGGAGCGGGGGCGTGCGTGCGTGTGCACGCCTGTGCAGCGCCCACAGAGCTGTGCCGGCCAGCGGCGCAGGGCCACCTTCACCCCGTCTCCCTGCTCAGGCTTGGGGACGCAGGCGGGCACCCCGATGGCCCCTGGAGGTGTCTGGGACTGGGGCAAGCCAGGTGTGCCAGGATAGGGATCGTGGGGGGGCTCCACACCCTGCCAGCCTCCGCGGCCCCAGGCAGGGTCACCCTGATGGGACGGGACTGGTGGGTGCCAGCCTGGGTGCTGGGGCAGCCCCGCCGTGACCGCGTGCCCCCCTGGGGAGAGCCGGGCTGAGGGGTGCAGGGTGGGCAGGGCTGCCCATGCCCCCCCCACCTGCCTCGGACCCGGCTCGTCACCCGCCCTGTCAGGAGTACATGGAGGGAGCGAGCGTGAGGGGAGCGGGGGCGTGCGTGCGTGTGCACGCCTGTGCAGCGCCCACAGAGCTGTGCCGGCCAGCGGCGCAGGGCCACCTTCACCCCGTCTCCCTGCTCAGGCTTGGGGACGCAGGCGGGCACCCCGATGGCCCCTGGAGGTGTCTGGGACTGGGGCAAGCCAGGTGTGCCGGCATAGGGATCGTGGGGGGGCTCCACACCCTGCCAGCCTCCGCGGCCCCAGGCAGGGTCACCCTGATGGGACGGGACTGGTGGGTGTCAGCCTGGGTGCTGGGGCAGCCCCGCCGTGACCGCGTGCCCCCCTGGGGAGAGCCGGGCTGAGGGGTGCAGGGTGGGCAGGGCTGCCCATGCCCCCCCCACCTGCCTCGGACCTGGCTCGTCACCCGCCCTGTGGTCACCTTTGCGATGGATTAAGCACTGAAAGAGCAGCAAAGCAATCCCGTTCGCGCTCTCTTAGGCTGTCAATTGCCATTTTTGTAATAGAAATTCCTTTCACAAGGTAACGACGGCCAGATTTAGAGGATTTCATATTGCTAATAATTCCCCAAACAGCTATCTGACTGTGTTGTTTTAAAAGCCGCTTAGTTTTTTGCTTTGGAGTTTATGAAAATCTCCCACTCTAATATCCCGAGAGCCAGCCTATAATTGTGTTATTAAATCAATCGGAGCGGATTACATTGTAAAATCAATAGATGGCTGTAATTGCATATTAGAAAGTTGTTCTGCTGTTGTTGATTTTTTTTTTACATGGATAATTATAATAAGCGTGTTTACCTTAGTGCTGATTTGGAATGAGTCTCACTAAATGACTTATGACAAGCTTGGCGCGCCCGCTGCCCGGGGGCCGTGGCATCGTTTGGGACGGCGAGGACGGTGCTGCCGGCACGGGCGTGCAGGTGGCACCGACCCGCCAGGGTCCCACGGGCTTTGCAGGGTGGTAGCCCAGAGCCCAGGGCAGCTCCCAGCGCTGGCACCCGGCGCGAGGGCACGTCAGGGCTTTGGGGAGATGGCTGGTGGGGTTTAGGAAGCAGCCGGCGGTCCCAGAGAGTCTCCCCGGCAAACAGCGGGGGTCCCGCGGGAGGTACCGTGGGGTCTCGCTGCCAGTTTGGCCGCTCCCCAGGTCTCTGTGCAGCTTCCCTTTCAGCAATATGGAGCAATAGCCAAGCCCCGGCAGCCCACACTAGCCCAGGGCGATGCTGCGGGCAGGGAGGTGGGCCACGGGATGCCTGGGAGTGGTGAAGGGCAGCGGCCGGGGCTGTGCTTTCAAATCCAAGCCGCTCGCCTGCCACCTGCCTGACGCAGCTCGGAGGCCAGGATTTGCTTTGCTGTTACTCTTTTGGGGGACCAGGCCCGGGCTGGCTGTGGGGTGGGGGTACTTCGGCCGCAGACGGTTGCACTCCCCCTGCCTCGGTTTCCCCAGCTTTCAAGCCACCTGTTAGGTCCCACTGGAAGCTGGCTCCAGGGGCAGGTCTGGTGCTGGTTTCCCGGGGGCTCAGCTGGCCGGGGGGCGAGACGGATGGAGCAGGGGGTCCTAAGGATGGTGAGGGGCTTGCTTGACTGGGAACAAGTGGCAGCAGGAGCTGGCACTGTGGCTTGGCCAGGCAGGACACCCGTCATCTCCAGGGCCCTTCTGGAGCCATCAGTGCCACCTCGGCCAGCAGAGAGGACAGAGGCACAGAGATGGGCTCGTCTCTGCCCCTGCGCCAGCCGGTGGGGCTGGGGATACCTCTCCTTCATCGGGCTGTCCTCATGCCCAGCTCCCTTCCCCGGCCTGGCACACCGGTGAGGAGAAGGGGTGCCATGAGAGGGCCTGGGGGGGACACTCGGGAGGCACATGGCTCTGACAGGGACGTTACCTCTCCCACTGCCGGCCATCAGCCAGGAGGGTCCCCAGCAGCTCAGGGCAGTCTTTCGGGGAGCTGTGTGTGGGGGAAGCCCCCTGCGCCTCCAACCGATGCTGGGGGAGGGGTGATGGCTTTGCCACCGGGTCACCGGGCGCAGCGGGGCTGGGCAGGGCTGCTGGTCTGGCAGGGAGCAGCAAGGCGGCCTGGCAGCCCCGTCCCTGCAGGCAGGCGCCTGGCAGCAGGGCAGTGCTGCCCATCTGCACGGGGCCCTCAATCCGGCACGCGGCACTGTCAGCAGGCAGCCTGCTGTCTCCTAGACAGTGAAATATGGCCACAATTAGCCCGGATACAGTTCAATTATGATAAACAGCGTTTGCACCCTTTAAGCCGTGATTAAAAGGCCTCCTCCCGTTGATAGAGAGACCTAATTTCACATTATTATCGCTGTAGCTTGATTATAAAGCACTCCCTGGATTTACAGTTGGGAGATGGATGTGGAGGCTTCTTTATCATTTACACATCAGTAATGATGCAGCCTTCCCTCCACCACAACATCCATCCAGCGGCGGCAGGGAGAGGGGGGTCCTGCCTGCGCCCCCCCTCCCGGGGCACCCTCTCCCCGTGTCAGCCGGGCCCCGCTGCCACACGCAAGTGGGCAAAGTCACCCTTACGGTAACAGCTTGATAAATGGGCGGGCGGTAATGAAATGGAGACATCAAGGCGTGGGGCGAGGAAGAAAGAGTGGTAATCGGAACGAGTGGAGCTGTCCCGAAACGGAGGGGAGCGGGAAGAAGGATCGCCTCTGCGCCGTGTGCTGTCAAGGGAGAAATTACACATTTACTCTTGCTTTTTCTTAAGGAGACGGCCCTCATAGATCAAAACATGGATTTACAAGCCAATTTTCAACATGAAATATAGACACCAGGAATCAATTTAAGCCCAGCTTCTATTTTAGCAAACGGTGCCTGCGTTTAGTCCCAGGTAAATAACACCAGCCGGAGCCTTCCCCCTCCCCGGCTCGCCGCCCTGCCACCGCTTGCGCTGGTGGCCGGGGTGGTGCCGGCCGGCCCCTGGCACC